ATTTTAATTGAGATAGTAGACAAAATATTTCTATTTTATTATTTAATCAATATAATTCTCGTCTTAATATATAAACTATCGAAATTAGAAAAAAAAAATTCAAAAATCGAATATATTCTATTCGCCATTTTTTTGTTTTCATCAGAAAAAAAATTCATATTAAATAAAATCAACTCTTTTTATTTAACAAGATTAAACTTGATTGTTTATGTCAATCTCAACTGAATTCATTCACTTTTTTTTTACTTTCATTTTTTATCAACTTTATTAAATAAGAATCAAGTTTTTGTTTTTTAAATAACTCGTTTTTATTTTAAAATAAAGACCAATCCGTCCGGTTAAAATCGAAAACAGAATATTCTGTTCAAGCGTTCGATTCTGTTTATGCTAGAACTTGCACGACTGCAGATGGCAATTGTTTATATAGTTCTCTTTCGATAATAAATATTGGATCTGAAAAACTAACACATTCGATGAGATTGTTAGCAGTTAATGCAATGATCAATAATAGCGATTATTTCCAAACACTTTGTAAAGTATTGCAGTATTCATTTGAGGAACAGTTGAAAAGAACTGCTATGGATACAATATGGGGTGGAGAAGTTCAAATTCAAGTGCTTTCTATGGCTCTATCTCATCCTATCTATTCATATATTCAGTTTAACGGCGATCCAAACAGCAGTATCACAGATCCAAGAAATCGGGGATCTTAGAGATCTCCAATATAACAGTATTTCCACCCTACTCATACATTACTCATATCGATACTAGCCTTTCTCTCTACAAGAAATACTACCTCTCATCACGTCTCTGTAAGAGATACCGTATCTCTAATTAGATCTCTGTAAGAGATGTCGCATCTCTAGGATGGAGATCTCCTGATTAAAAGAAATTTTCTCATAAGGAGATCTCCATCCTATAGATGCGGTATCTCTTACAGAGATCTGATTAGAGATACGGTATCTCTTGTAGAGATGCCGCATCTCTGCTTGGAGATGCATCTCCAACATCATTCCAAGGCTAAAATTGAGAAAAAAAATTTCCACCTGGAGATGCGGATCCTAGAGATCCGGTATCTCTTACAGAGATCTGATTTGAGATACGGCATCTCTTACAAAGATCTAATTAGAGATACGGTATCTCTTGTAGAGATGCCGTATCTCTGGTTGGAGATGCATCTCCAACATCATCCCTAGGCTAAAATGTAAAAAAAAATTTTTCAAAGTTTAGCTTAGGGATGATGCTGGAGATGCATCTCCTTACAGAGATGCGGCACCAGGGATGCCACCTCTTCCGCTTTTTGCGGAAAGTTTCCGCTTTTTCACCTTTTTTCCGCTATTTTTCCGCTGCTCCGCTTTTTTCCGCTTTTTGATATAAAAAGGTGATGTGTTTTCAAAATACGTACAGAGCAAAACTTATTATTGTCGAATAAAGTCTTACTGTTTACGTATCCAGTTAATCATCATTCTTATTATGTCATTCATAAAATCAATGGACGAACACAAAGCTTTTCTATGTTAGAGGGGTTGTGCACTAATTGCCTGTTTGAGAATTTAAAATATCATTCTGCTTTCAATTGATAGTTAACTCGTTTTCAACTTATTTTGCCTATTGTATGTACACAAAATAATCTCGAATCCAAAAATTTAAACGTTTTTTAATGATCTACAGATATTGAGACTACAAATGAAGATGAAACAGATCGTGAGAATTTAATAACAGCATCACCAATTCTGAAATCAAATGAAAATAAAAATGTTGAAGTCATACTAGGTAGTTATCAAAAGAGAAAAAAAGGCATATTTAATCCACAATGGCTACTTAGTCCTCAGTTCGCATCATTTTTACGAGAGTATAAACCAGATTCAGCTAAAGTTCTTTGTATTGCCTCTAATGAACATTTTTTCAGTACAGGACGGTGGAAAAAATAACATTGATCGTCACATAAAGTTGAAAGACACAACAACAACATAAAATCATTTCGTATAAATCGACAATTGATAACATTAACTATCAAATCTAACAAAGAGGTTGAAAAAAAAAGTATCTGAAGAAGGTACTTTTGTATACCATGGAGTGAAGCATAGTCATTCTTATTCATTTCAACAATATTTTATGTTTTGCAATTTTGTCAAAATAAAAGCAGAATGCTATAGATATGAAAAACGCTCAAAATCCTCATAAATGCTAAAAATCCGCGACGAAATAAGTTTCCGCATTTTTGTCCGCTTTTTCGGTCTTTTGTTTCCGCAATTTTCCGCTTTTTCGACTTCATGAGGTGGCATCCCTGTGCGGCACCTCTACAAGAGATACCGTATCTCTAATCAGATCTCTGTAAGAGATGCCGCATCTCTAGGATTTACATCTCTGGGTGTGGGTGTCTGGGTGTGGTTGTGTGGATGTGGCATCTCTTTTAGAGATGTGGGGTCTCCTAAGGGTTTCTGATAGGAAGAAAAATACGATTAGGATGTGAGAAATCAGTATTATATTCAAGTGTCGTTAGTATATTAGAGATCTCCGTGGAGATCTCTAAAATCCCCGATTTTTTGGATCTGTGACACTAGTCGTTTAAAGCTAAGATCTTTAACCAAAATACAAAAACTTAGTCTGTTTTCTATATCCAGAAAAATATTACGCAACATGTCTTTTTTAATCACTTTGGATTATTGAGTAATTCGGGTCTTTAAATTCTCCAATACTTGAACAGTCTTTTCATGGAATTTTATTTCGGTGTATCTTTACTAAAATGAATTGAATAGTATCAAGTAAAATTCAAGCAATTAAAACAGACATCATCCATGAATTTTTCTGGACATAGAAAACAAACTAATTTTTTGTATTTTGATTAAAGATCTTGGCTTTGAACAGTACTTATGAAGTTTGCTCGTATAAATAAAAACTTGGTGTATCTACCTATCATTTAAAAAAAAGAATTAGTTGATATTGTCAAATGAAATAGTGGAGATAATCAAAAAACTTATCTCGACAGGACTTTTGGGACACCCTGTATTTCTACTATCATTTTTAGTTCTTTTTCTCCATAGCACATATATTTTTTAATTTAATCGCTTTCATTTTCATTAAACAGTCAATCAATCGATTTTTTTTTTGTCTTTCTATAATATGATTATTTTCTCAACGATCGATGGTTTTCATATTGATTAGTTGATTATCATGAAAAAAATAAAAATAAAAATAAACATTTATATTTTAGCTTGTTTTTTAATATAAAACAAAGTTTTCTATTTTTGAGAATAAAATATTTACAATTGAGGAAAATACAGATGAAAATTTTCTGGACGTACAAATGGCTCAACTATAGAAAGAGATTTTATCTGAGTACAATTGAATTCCATTGAATTATTGGTAAAATGATTTGTTATAATTACGAGTGATTCATATTTGATTCTGAGATACACCAAACAAGGTAGATGAGTATTTTTTTTGAGAAGAAATTGTTCCACATAATCAATATGTGCAAGCACAAGGTTAAGATAACGTAGATGAGGAAATATAACGAATGTCGATGAATGTTGTTTATTGTTTTGTTGTTCATTATTGATCAGAGACAATCGCTGAAGAAAAGGAAAAGATTCTGAGATAAATTTGAAAAATTCATGTTCAAAAGGACGTGTATCAGTCATTTTTACCCAATTAACCTTTTCAAATATACCACCTTGAAAAGAATTGTTCAAATGATGAAAGTTATCGAATTGATATGGAAGCGAATAAATATGACACCGAGCTTCATACTCTATTAGATTATCATCAGCATATGAACTAACTTGTTGATATTTTCTTTCAATAAAACTACGTTGAATATCATCATTCGAAGGAAGAGTAATATTGACATATCTATTATGAACTAGAGTATTTATACTAAAAGTAAATTTGTTTAATCGTGGCATATGAATAAGAATTTGATCGTATAATTGTATACCATCGATATAAGACGAATCGTATCTTTTTACTATAAGAAATAATGTAAGTTCTTCAAGATTTGACATTTGACGAATTAATGGAACAATTTGATCATCATAAAACCTCGTTTGTTCAATCGAGATCAATGAAAAACATTTTAATTTTGAAAGTTGTTTCTAGAAATAAAAAAGTATATTGAATTCCATATTTATTCAAAATATAATGATCAAATATATATTTCTTTTACCAAGTTCTCTATAGTTGCTATTGAAATAGAAATTTCTTCTATATCGATTATTAATGTTGATAAACGATTGAAACGTCCATCAAGAAGATAAAGACAATCATCAAAATTATTGACCTTAATTGTTAATTTAGTTAAAATTGAAGAAACACAAGTTCTTATTAACACATAAGAACTTGAAGACACACTGAGCCGGTGTGTAAAAGTGAAATCGGTTAAATTTTTGCTCGTCCTTAATACAAATCTAAACACATATCGTACAGATTCAAAACTTTTCGTGTTGTTCGATTGAATATCGAGATTAAAATACATAATTTGATTACGAAGAAGATAATGAAATTTTGGACAATCTTAAATATACAACAAAATATGATCATCAAATATATATAAAATTTACTTGACTAAATCAAAAAATATTGTATAGCAAACCTATTAAAAATAGTAATAATCTGGTTAAATCAATTGAGACAAATGATAATGAATAAAGTTGAGGAAAATTACATGTATATAGAACACGTTGGATTGAAAGTTGACGAAGAGTAAGCTTATTTATTTGATGGCGAATTCGAGGTAAGATACTTGTACAAATTCGATTGAAACGTTTAGAATATTCTTTAAATTCACAATCAAGTAATAAATTGCTTGTAAAATTAAGATCATGAATATAGAGAGAGTTGAATACCAATCGATCAAATCGTTGATTTACATCGACAAGTGAATATAATATATCAATATTATTTAGTTTGTTGAAAATAGAAAGTAACATTTCATCAGGCAAGTCGAGTATATTTATTTCGTTTTTATTTAACATGTTCATACTTAATGATTCTATCTAGAAATTCAGTTCGATCTATAGTGCTGATCAAAAGTCTCTTATTTCCTGAAGTTTATCGATATTTCAAAATTTTAGTTTGAAATTTCGGCTGCACGTAGATAGTGGAAAATGCTGATCATAGACACCAATTTGACCTTATATTATTTATAACTTAGCCAAACAATCACTTTGGAGATCGAGAAATTCACCATTCGAAAGCCTAAATCTTTAGCTTTCTTTGATAAAATTTTCATCAGAAAAGTCCTTCAGATGGCTGAGATATCACTTTGTTAAGAATTACTATCGAATGTTAATTATGATGATTTTCAATTCGTCACTGCGAAAATCAACTTTACATTGACTGATTTACTTGAATTTTTTTTCTCAATATAGTCATTAGATTAGGAATATTTCCTGGAAATTTCAGAGTTATAGTTTATTCTAAATTGACAATATGATTATGTAATGGTTCCACTATTGCATACTTCACTAACCATTTGTAACTCAATGAATTCACGTGTTCTTGCTATCCAACGTTGTATACATTAGGAACTGTATTCATCATTGGGAAAATTACTCATAAACCGTTCAGAAATAAAGAAGATTATTTTTCTTTATATGAGCAATCCAAGATAAAGATGTTGTTTGATGTATAACTCTGTCCTGTTACATTGAAATGAGGTCGAGCTGATGTCTATGATCAGCGTTTCCCACTATCTACATGTGCAGTAGAAATCTCAAGTCAAAATTTTGAAATATCGATAAAATCCAGAGGAAGGAGAGATTTTTAACCAGTACTATACGTATATTTTACACACACATATATATATAGAGAGATAGGGAGAGAGAGCTGTCCCGTCAAAACAATGAAGAATAATTATTGATGTCGTCATGTTCGACGACGGATAAAATGAATGTTTCTTTCTGACTGAAATATTTTTTTTGTCTCTCATTCTTTATCAATTCGTTCGTTCAATGTTTAGATATTGCCTCCTTTATTATTATAGTTCATATAAAGTGGAGAAAGTGAAAAATGCTTTTCAGAAGAAACAAATAAAAAAACAAAGAATCTCAATTATTCATTACATGAAAAAAAAATATCAAAGTTAATCACACTTTTTTTATTTTAATTAAATGAAATTTTTATAGTGTTGAGCATAGGGTGAGGGTGACAAGGATATCCATATGTATTTGCTATTGGACAACAAAATGAAGGAATTATGTTCGAGAAGTTTGTTCTTTATTAAGAAACGAAACATTTAAGTTGGATTGTTAGTATTAAGGATCGATCAAATCCATTAAGCCAAGGAAGAGAATATTTGATTATAAAAAAATAAGATTTGTTTAGTTTTTAGAAGTAATTCATTCTAAACAAGGTCGATCATGTGTTGCACGTGGATCGAATCAAAAAATTCCATATTTAGTAAAGATTTTGTAATACATAATATGCATAAACATCATACTTAGATCTGACCAAAAGTTTTGAGATCGTTAAAAAAATATATATAAAGATAAGGATATATTTTCCATTTTATTTCATCAAATATTCACAATAGTTATTATGATTGTTTATAGCAAATTCAATCCTTTCTAACGATTTATTAAAAGTTATTTTTGAGCTCTTTTTTCAAAAAAATTTTTAGTCTTCATGGAAATCACATGAGTACATTATATTTCATTTATTTAATCAGTTTAACTTCGATCGATAGAATTATTTAACCAAAAGATTATGCAGTACGAGATTCGACGAATATGGCGGAGATGATATGATATTGATGCATTTTTTTTTTCAAATAATTAATAACATTGGATGAATATGAAGTTAATGATGCTCGTTAACCAATTTTATACGTTTTGAACCTGATACCTCTGTTTGCTTCCATATCTTATTAACAAAAGACTTTAGACAATTTTTAATATAATACGTTTGATCTATAGCCTTGACTTCATCTACACTATGTATAAGAGCAGGACCATGTAATTTAAAGGATATAAAAAAAAAGATTTTGATTCAAATCTACTTCGGTGCAGCATAGTTATTGAGGATTCACCTTCAGTAATCCAACTTGCATTAATTGACTTGCGCCCAACCTACCTATGATAAATCCATATCTCATTATTAGAGGCGACGGAGCGATTCTAATCTAGGGGAAGCTCAAAACTTCTCAGGCAACGATAGGAGGGTGATGTTCCGGAGAGGAGTATTTTCTAGCTTTTCAATCTTAGCTCTGATTAAAGAGATATTGAATGTCTCAATGTGATTTCAACTGAATTTATTTCATATATATCCTTCTATAGGCGACTAATACAATCTTGGAGTGTTCTCGAACGATGTCCTATGGAAGTTGAGAATCTTTTGTAATTTATTTCTTTAGAATTTGCAGGATTCACTTTAATCACAAAATTTCTGTTTCATAGCATAAAAGATAATATAACTCTACTTAAAAAAGAAATCCATGATTTGCAAAGAATAAGCCTTCATCTTTCAGCTGCTATCCATCTGAAATCTTGTCTGTTTTCATATTTCAGTTAGATACACATGTTTGTCTCAATTTTGTTCATTTGACGATGAAACGATTACATAAGTAAAGGAACTTTCAGAAAAGTTTTGAAAAAATGAATCATAGAAGTTGTTGTTGAATTTTCTACAACAATGCATCACAACGTCTTGTCGACCTGTCGTTACCCAAATATTCTCTGTGACACTGTGATGACTACATAATATAAGAGGAGTCTCTGGGATGAAAAAAATCATGTCAAATCCAACACTGCTTCAACTTAGACATATTGAGAAGAATGTCAAAGTAGTAAAATATTATGTACATGTACAAGATATCATTAGCTAGATCGTTTTCGAACAGATTTAGGATTAGTCTATCAGCACGGATTCTACAAAGAACTATCCAAAGCAATTGGTTCGCAACTTCTTTTACTTTCCTACGACTATAGTCAAAATAATTCGAATTGAACAATTTAAATGTGTAAAAATGAAGATATTATTTATGATTACTTACGTTAATAAGCCAATTGTGATATTGTGTTGAATATCATGGAAGTTAAGATCTACCTGCACTATTCCCTCACTATGTGGATCATTCATAGTGGGATGGACAATGTCCACGAAAAGGAATGGAGGAGGACCATGGATAAAATTTGATGACTCAGCAACCACTTCTCCATTACACAGCCAGCCGTCTCTGCAAATTCAATTTGAAATATTATTAATATAAAATACAATTAAACTTACTCTTTTTCGATTATATTTGTATGAATATTCTCGACTTCTCTTGTGTGTCTTTTATAACGAAGCCGGATTGCCTGCTTGTGTGAAATTTCATTGATCTTCTTAACGAAATTACCACAGAAGGA